TTGAAATTTTCAAAATCTACTGAAGACTGTGTAGAAGCAGTACGGAACAGCGTCCGTTGACTTGTTGAAATTTTCAAAATCTACTGAAGACTGTGTAGAAGCAGTAAGGAACAACACGAGCTAACATGTAAGTCCTAAAGTTCTTATTCTAATCCACTCGCTTTCGCCGTACCACAACACAGCAATCAGCAGTAAACCAAATGGAAGATGGGAATTAGTAAAGTGTAGTGATTAATAAGATGAATTAAATGTAGCAAATGTAATATAAACACGACAATCGACAATGGGATTCCTCGGAATCATCGCTGTTGGATTCATGCACTAATCGGATTCATGCACTAATCGGAATCCGAATCCTYGGAATCCGTGGAATCCTGGGAATCGTTGCTTCGACGACGCTTCCTGCMAGCTTTTGGACTGAAGTGCTGCATGGCAATGGAGACAAGGGATCMAAGAGCACTTCCAATTGCCTGGTAGGCCTCCTGCCTTTCTTCCCTGGCTCTCAAAGAAGCTCTCTCGCGCTGTTCAACACAGGCCTCCAATGCCTTAATGATGCCTTGCTGCTTTGAATTGGCAGTATTGTAAGAACGGACRCGAGAGGCTCTGCTTCTTGGTGTTGATGATTCTGATGATACAGCTCTTGCAACTGGAACTACGTACGTTTCTTCCTGCTGATTAGTAAGTTGTGAATCTTCTGTTTCTTGCGAGGAAGCTTGTCGGAGTACAAGCTGAGGGGGAGCGTTGTCGTTGTTGCCCTGCTCGTTGTCAMGACTAACATTGYCACTGYTGTTGCCGCTGTTRCTGTTTCCAGCTCRATRATTTCCCTCAGGATCACCATCACGACCATCAGGATGGACATATCCTTCTTCAATATCAAAGTGCTCCTCTCCATCTCCAATGTCWGCCTTCTCTCCAATCAAGCGCTTGGCCCTCTTGGCAAGTCTCACTGCTAAAGGACAGTTAGGATCTCCAGTAGGGATGTTCTTCCTATGAAGGGATGCAAACTTCCTTCGAATGGAATGGATATCCCTATTGGTGTAAGGATAGGTTTGGGCATGAGTGGCTACTACTTCATTCCACTGGTCACTCCCAATAGGAAGCCTTGCCAAGATGGTGTACATCAAGTCAATGGTTTCCTGAGTGGAATAGTTGGTTGTTCCAGATCTTCTGCCTCCTGTACCAGCAACAATTGGTGCAGGAGCTTCTTGTTGCTGCTGCTGTCCCTGTCTCGTTAAAACCATCTTGCGGATGAATCGATGCTGTTCTTTTTGTGTCGGAATCGGTGCTGTTCTTTTTTGTGTCGGAATCGATGCCGGAAACTACACGTGATTTGCTGCATGCAAATCGATGCTGTTCTTTTTGTGTCGGAATCGATGCCGGAAAATACACATGATTTGCTGCATTCCAAGCAGTTCCTCCCCCCCCCGGGGGAAGGGGGTTCTCAGGGTTCTCAACTTTTAATTCCTGTTGACATGACTCCATCAGGCTTCTTCCTTGTCTTCCGGGGTCCTTTTAGTGAGGATGCTGCTAATATACTTCAGATTTTGTATTGAACTGGTCGTGGTTTACCTGGATTTGTTTTGGCGCGCTTTGTGACACTTTGGATTTGTTTTGGCGGGCTCCCCCGGCTCTTGCTGACACTTTAGATTTGTTTTGGCGGGCTCCCCCGGCTTGCTGGCACCATGTGTTCTCAATATTTGTTGCTGGCGAGAATGCAGTTATTTTCTGTTAATTTCAAGCAAAATTCCATATTCCTAAATTAAGCACATGTAGCGCGCCATAATTCAATATCTATGATTCTAAGATTTTACATACTCATTCCMGTTGAGTCATAGACGCAAAGTATGTCAGCATAGATTCTATGTTTACGGGAATGACCCATTGTATCTATCCAACTCTGTCTCTGGTACCGGTACGTCAGTACTGGAAACCTGTATGAACCAACAAAAATTTCTTCGTTTGGATTTTTTCTCCCTTATTTTGCCGTACTACCGTACGTACGTACCTCTCGTACTGTAGTGCGGTAATTAGAACACAGTACAGTACTGTACTAAAATACGGAACGCAATAGCTTGATGCGCCAATCAATACTGTATCTGAATTCAGGGCTGGTAAAATCCACTCAGCTATTTTTCTCGAAACTTTTAGCTCGCACAACATCAACGCGAGGGGTACTACTGCAACAGAGACTTCCTCTTCCAAAAAGAGATAAAACAAGAATCTCATGGCATCGTCGCCACGGCTACGACTGCCTGCCAGCAGCGTCGTGATAGCGGCTATACTGCGCTGCCTCCTGCCTGCAATCTTATTCCTTCCATGGTGTTGCCAATCCCTGCTCACGAACCTTATCGCCGGCGGATTGCCTACGAATTCGGTGTCGTCGTCGGTGGCACTGACTACGCATTGCAAACCTTCGAAAGTCAGGCGGAAGAAAATATCGTTGGGCCAGATGTACCATAGCAGCAGTAAATGTTTTCTTGACGACGACGGTGTGATGGAGCAGGAAGAGAGTCGACACGGAGATAAAAATTTGCAGCAGCAGCAGCAACAACAACAGGAGGAGATTTATTTATTTTCGTTGAATTGGATCAAAGAGAACGATCCCGAATACTTTCGAAAGAAAGATGTTCGGCGACTATGGGAATGGAAAGATACTGCGCTAGGAGATGGCCGTGATTTTTTCGTACCAAAACCAAAAACGTTGATGGCATTGCAAAAATATTTATTGGATAATATTCCCAACTTGACGGAATGTTCCATTATTTCAAATTGTGCTCGATTGGAAGTTTTGTGCTGCTATACTCACCCCGTCAGAGCCAACAATATTAATGAAAAAAAAAAAAGAAATATAGTTGGAGACGAAGAACTAAGACTGCTGGCCCGTGGCATTTCAAATTGTTTCGTCACCCAATTGAATAGTTACCAGAACATTTCAAAAAATGCGAACGCATTGACGAAGGTGATGATGCAGTTACCAATCAACGCAGATCGACCAGAATCATTATTGACAAAGGTACCTCCAACAATAGACCATTTGGAACCTCTGTCATATTACGACTCCTGGTGGGATGTGACCGTGGGCACCGAAACGATTTTGACTCGATTGTGTAAGGTTAGCGCTGGAATGGGGCATAGACCTCGACGTCCCGATAGGTCGGTTGTATTTCGACCTTTCTCCTCTCGCGATGCGCACGTCCTCTTGCAGCTTAAACGCACACGAGAAAACATTTCTTTCTGCTCTGACAGTATCACCGGCAGAAACAGTGGAAGCTGCATGAACAAAGGCGGAAACAACTCAACAACAATACAGCAGCAGCGACGAAAGCGCAAGGTTTTGCCCACGATTTTGGATTGCGCCCTGCGGGCTGGGAAAGCTGCAAGGAATCCTGCTATCGTTCCAGAAATTGAGGAATTGCGAGAATTGACTTCTGCAGAATCTTCGGCTTGCAGTCCTTCGGACCTACAAATTAGCCAAAGAGTCGCGAATGCTGCTCTCGAAAAAGGAATCCTTCCATTGGTCAAGGATTGTGCGTTAAAATTACACAAGTCGACACAATCTATCGATCAGCAAGTCACGGAGTTCAGACGAAGTGCTTTCGAACTATTGCTAGAAGTCGAAGGAGAGAAATCAGGTAACTCAATTGTAGGTGGAAACAACGACAGCGTTAATGAAGAAAATATTGATCGAGAGCTACGTTCATGGCTCAATCGACGATTACACGAGCCTACGGTCAACTTACGATCTCGCTTACAGCAACACATCAACAACGAAGCTTACGACAATGCCGAATTGTCATATATGAATGAATCATTGGACCAGATACTCACTGAATTACACAAGGAACACCACCGTCTTCAGCAAGGAAACAAAAAAGAAATCAGATCAGTCATACCTTGACATGCGATTAATGATCAATTATTTTATTCCTATGGATAATGAGGATTGTCGAGGTTACACAATTGAGCTACTTCACATCAAACATGGGATTTAATTGAGAAAATGTCTCTCCTATGTTCTCGGTTTTATCGATTTTATTTTGTTGTGCTCTGGTGTAAATCCGCTCGACTTGTGACCCCACAAATATTCCCCCCATGGTGCCAGCTCTGCCAAGAAAACATATCCTTTTTCTTCAAGGAGCGCTTTCAGCTCCTTGTTCGGACGTTCAACGGTCATTATCCGAATGGTGTAGGAGTCAAATGGAAAATATTTCATTATGTCGTATTCGGAACCTTCGACATCCAAACTCAAGTAATCGATTATTTCCGGAACATCGAATTTCTGCAGCACTTCCAGTATTGGTGCCGTGTATCTTGTTACCTTTGGAGCATCAGGTTCTTTCTTCCGGTTGGCCAACTTTGCGGATAATTTACCAACGATTCCTCCGTACACACCTCGAAATTTAACTTTCACCGGTTCGGGCTTAGTACCGCTCACCAATGCTCCCACAACCGTGCATTTTCTATGAGATAAACCATACCAATAGGCATGGTTGGGTTCCACACACAAGCCTGTCCATCCCTTACGTTCCAGAGCTAGCGTATTAGTCAAATCCAAAGCATCATCTGAAATTAACGAAATTGTTACGTCACGAAACCGAGTCGTCAATGAGTCTCACAGTAAATGACCATTTTTCATATTTCTAAGGAAAGCCTCACTTACTCGCTGCAAGATCAATAAAGTATCCGTTTGATCCAAGCAAGTCCAAAATGATCGAATCTTGTCCGACTTGTGCAAATGATTCCTGCGATTGTGTTATAGACTTGGGTGCGTCGTTGAACAAACCTTCTTTCTCTCCGTAAAACACGTGGATCGAATGCCAGCCTTTCGTTTCCTTCACTTCAGGTATACTCTTCAACGATGTTACAACTTTCTTTTCGGAAATTGAATTTCTATCTTGATCAAGCCACAATGCCGTGGGATCGACGTCACTTCCAATCCATAGATTCAWCCCTAATGCGCCAAGAAACATTCCAAGAGACAACTGAAAGAAATTGGCATTCGATCTCGAGGCCGAACCATTTTTTTTAAGGCGGGTGGCTGATACCATAGTCCCACTAGAATGAATGAGAGAAAGGGCTCAGAGAGTGATAAAAATTTTGCTAACTCCAAATGGCTGTTACGCTGAATTGAGAAAGATGAAGATGAAGATGAAGATGATAGAAGCAACGACGAAGATGAGTTTCGCCCATTGAAATTCGCACTGCAGCAGTGCCTCTATCTAGGAAAAGATTGAAAAAACGGTCTCTTGATTCACGTTGGACAAATGACTACCAGTACTCGTATGTATGTGTACGGTAAAATTTCTCAAATAAAAAAACAGATGAATGGGTCATTCCCGCAAACATAAAATCTAATAAAATCTATGCTGATATACTTCGCATCTATKACTCAATGGGATTAGGTCTTTTGTGGTTCGCTGCAAGTGGAAGTCGAATTGTTGTCACCCAGTGGCATGAAATGTATTTTGTGGAAGAAACTGTAATGTTTCAAAGAAATAGCAACTATTGGCTCTGTATTGTCTGGGAGAAACAATAGTTCCCTAAAACAGCCATTCATTTTGTACTAGTATGGTCTATGTAAAAAAACTTCGTACCAGATTTTAGTTTTTCTAGTACCCCCTCAGACTCCCTTTTCCATCGACAAATTTCAGTCGAAAAAACTATTCTACTAGTATTTTTTTGACTTCCATGATTAAGTTTGGAACTACATAGAATTGTCTGTATTAGAATATGATGCCCCAGCATATGCTTACTAATTTGGAATAAGGAATCTTAGTTGGTTGAGAACACATAGTGCTGCCAGCAAGAACCCATGTGCACATGACTTCAGAATTTCTGAATCCCAGATTCCAAAAAAGTATGTATGTGYGTCCATACTTTTGGTTGTCGTGAGCCTCATCCGACAACAAAAAATCAATGTATTTGTGTCAAAAACACATACTTCTTTTTGTTCACATCTGGAGTCTAATTCAATTTTTCATAAATCAATGTTTACAGGAATCACCCAATATCTTCTTACTACTAGTAGTAGGTGTAAAATAACAATTGAAACTACATTAATTTAGGCATTGAGAACATTAATTTAACATTCTAAATGTTCTTTTAACATAAGAAATGTTAGAAACAAGAAGACAGGAACCATGAAGGGAGGGGGCAAGGTGCTTTAAGATGCTCAATGGTATATCCCAAAAACTCATCAAAATATGAGCTTGACTACTACAAGATACAAAAAAGAAGGAACCACCAATGACTGGCGTGAGAAGACAAGGAACCAAGGAATAGCTTGAGAAAATAAGGAGCCAACAACTGGCTTGAGAAAACAAGGAATCCATGGCTTGTTGCGTGAGAAAACAAGCAACCAACAACTGGCTTGAGAAAATAAGGAGGAACCAACAAATTGTGTGAGAAAACAAGTATATAAATACCACAAGTAGCTGCTGGATAACATGCTTGCGGAAGCATTTGATGTTGAATAAAATAATCAGCTGTTTGATTTTCCACCAGCAGCTGTTTGCAAGCATGCTGTGGGTGACATAGTGGGACCATCAACTGGCCTGACAAAACAAGGAACCAATGACTGGCATGAGAAAACAAGGAGCCCATGACTTGTGGACCAACCACGGGTTTGCAAGCTCAAGCCCAAACCAACCACAGGCTTATGCAAGCCCAAACCAACCATGGGCTTGCAAGAACAAGCCAAAATTAATGGGCTTGCAAAAACAAGTGGTCAGTTATTCTGGGACAAAGGGATGCATACAAATGAAAGTAGACAGGGGCAGCTGCTTGCAAATCTTTTCGTACTTTGATGTTAAATGCATGCATAAGCTAGTTCCCACAGGAACCTGTCAACAGTGAATGAATGTTAAGCAGAGCATTAAAGATGTTGAATTGAAGCAAAAACTGCAGTAGTCATTTCTACACAGCCTACACTACTAACATTCAGAATGTTAAATTAACCCTCCCAATGCCTCAATTAATGTAATTTCAATTGTTATTTTACATGCAGTAATCAATTTGTTCTTAACAGTTTGTACCACAGGACACTGTTTCAATGGAGTCATGGGGTTTTCTATGTATCTTTTATTACGCATTTGCCAAAATGAGATATTTGACCAATATGACCTTACAGTATATGTTTTGTTTTGTTTTGTTTCTTTTGTAGGACAACTGTAGGACAACTGTAGGACAACTGTAGGACAACTGTAGGACAACTGTAGGGCAACTGTGGGACAACTGTGGTCCTGTAGCTGTGTGGCTCCTATCAGGTCTTCTTGTTTACTAGTCTGCTTTTTCTCCATTATTGACTCCATTGATGGTATTGATTCTCCATGTGGTGATGTTGTGGCTTGGCAGCAAGGATGTACCAGCAGGCCTAGTGTGTCTTTGCAGCAGAAATGGATTGTGGGGAGATATACACTGATCAGATGTCTTTTTTGGCGCTGTTATGCCTTCACTGGACAGAAGTTGAGATTGTAGGTGGTGATGAACTTGATGACGCAGTGTGGGCACTTGGGTGGCTGGTGGTCCTGATGCCAAACCAGGAAAATGTTTTTGCCAAAGAATGCTGCGGCATTTGTGTCAGCCTTTTTGTGGTTGCCCCAACAGAGGAAGTGGTGGGACCAGCCAATGTGGATGGTGTCCACTGCTTTGGTATCCTGGGGCTGGTGATGTTTTTGGTCTGCACAGAGCATGTGGGTGACTGGTGGGTTGTATGTAATGAATGTGTGCTGCAAGAAAGACCATGGGTCCTAGGCCCCATTTGTGTGCCAGGTAATGCTCTTGCTTGTGGTGCAAAGTCAAATTTTGCTATTGCTGCTGTGAGGTCATGCTGTAGTAATTGTCCTCTTAGATTTGGGAAGGTGTTAATGCGGGGGAAGATGAAGAGCTGTTTACTTTTGTTTCTTGTCCCTTGATTTCAGTAAGTAGTGTCTGCCAGGAGTTTTTTTCTGCATGGAAGTCATAAGTGTGGGTGCATTTGCAATTATGCTATTTGTGTTGCCGACAGGTTGTGGAGTGTTACTACCACCAGTTGGTTTAGGTTTTGGTTTTGGTCTGGTTGTGGTTCTGGTTGCAGTGTGTACTAGGAGAGTGTGGGTTAGAGTTGGTTGTATGCTTTGTAGCATACGTGGAGTTGGATCCCATGGTTGTGGCATGTGTTGTTTTCTGGGTTGTTGGATCTGTGTTTGTGGCTGTTGTGCTGTATTGTGGTATATTGGTGGTGGAAGCATATGTAGTAGTAGTAGTAGTAGTAGTAGTAGTAGTAGTAGTAGTAGTAGTA